AGCAGAGAAACGTGTAAAACCTGCAGGATGGTGGCCCTCCTGGACCACTGCTCGTGCTTTGGTCATTTCTTACCCGAGTGTTCTGTCTCTGCAGGGCGGTGGATGCCGGTTCCTGCGCTACGACTGCTCCATCCAGGCCCCCCGCCGAGGCTGGGCCCTCATGCACCCGGGCCGCCTCACCCACTACCACGAAGGCCTGCCGACCACGGCCGGGGTCCGCTACATCGCAGTGTCCTTCGTGGATCCTTGAACGCTGTCCTGAAACATGGAGGTGTTCTGAACCAAAGAGGAAACGCGTCTGTCTCTGTTCTGTCGGCCGAAGCGTCACACTGGGTCTTCATCAACTGTGCTTTATTATATTTTACTGACAAATCAGGAGGACTTTATCCAAACGTCAGTTCTGGTCCAGAAACGTTTCCTAAATTGACAAAGAACATTTCCTCCAAAATGAAAGAAGTCGGTCTTTACAGAAGTTCTTAGCCGTTAAAACGTGTTTTAGTAAATTGGAGAAGTTGGAGCTGGGACTGGGTCCAGTTAACGAGCTAACGAGCTGCAGAACACTCAACAGAAACTCAGCGCATCCATTTCAAGATCCTCCTCACATTCAAAGCCCTTCATAATGTGGCCCCTCCATACCCGACCCACCCACTCCGTCACTACACTCGGTCCCTCCGAGGCCTCCTCTCCCCCTGTAGGACCAAGCTGCGAGCCTGGGGAGGCGGAGCCTTCTCCATCTCTGCCCCGACAGCTTCGTGTCTCCCATCTCCACTTTTAAGAAAGAACTCAAAACCCACCTGTTTAAAGTTGCTTTTAATGTTTAAATTTGCCCTTTTTTAAATGTTTTACAGTTTTTATGTGCTATGCATTGTTGATTTTATTCATTTTTTAACTCATGTAAAGCGTCTTTTATTGTTTAGAAAAGCGCTATACAAATAAAATATATTATTATTATTTATTATTACAGTCGGACTCGTTTTAATAATTTCCCTGCTGCTGTTCGAACTCGTTAACTGGACCTCAGGACGTCATTCCCAGCTCCTCCAACTTTTGACATATTAAAATGTTTTAACCGAGCAGGTGCATCATGGGAAATGTATGCTATGACTTGAGAGTTGTAATCATGGATTTCTCCAAAGCTTTTTCCTCTTGGTGCCATTTTTTTAGCGTTTTGGTCTAAACTTTTTCTTCCCGTTCAGCCTCCGCTGCAGCCTTCACACTAAAACCTGATCCTGAAGTATCGGTTCTGTTTGGAGCACGTGGATCAGAGGTCACCTCTCAGGAGGCCGTCAACGTTTGGTTTCCTTCTAGATTTAACTGTTAATAAAACGTTTGAAGGTGTAAAATTTTAGAATCACTCATTTGTCCTGTATCTGAAGAGACGTCGAACTGAGACAGTTTTATGTGTTGAATAAAATCCAGACTTCCTGGTTTCATTTTCTTGAAGATTTGTTTCCTTCCAGCAGGATGTTCCTGAAGCAGCAGGATGGACCTCAACCAGCAGGATGTTCTTGAAGCAGCAGGATGTTCCTGAAGCAGCAGGATGGTCCTCAACCAGCAGGATGGTCCTCAACCAGCAGGATGGTCCTGAAGCAGCAGGATGGACCTCAACCAGCAGGATGGTCCTCAACCAGCAGGATGGACCTCAACCAGCAGGATGGACCTCAACCAGCAGGATGGTCCTCAAACCAGCAGGATGGACCTCAAGCAGCAGGATGGACCTCAAGCAACAGGATGTTCCTGAAGCAGCAGGATGGACCTCAAGCAGGAAACTAATCAAGTTTTGAACTGAACATTCTGGGAAAAGATCAAACAGCTGGAAGGCATCTTCAGGTGTTTTTTTTTTTTAACTATTCCAGAATCATATTTTCAAAATTTGTTACTTCTTGAATACAGATGTTGAAGTTTAGATTTCATTCTTATTAGCCAGACCTGGTCTGGTTCAAACCGAGCCGGTCTCAGGAGGCCTTATCCAAAATAACTAATGATTAAAGCTACAAAATAAAAACAGAAAATTAAAACCTGTGGAAGACCAGCGATCAGAGTCCAAACTAGAAACTTCTTGTTTCGAGAACAAAATCCAACCGGGCTGAGTCTGGTCCTGTGGACGGATTCTTCCTGAAACATTTCGTCTTTTATCCAAAAGACTTCTTCAGTCTGAGGAGCTGAAACAAACACGAGAACAACCTCTGGAAACATCAAGTTTTTTCAGTGTTTATTGGGGTAACAAACAAAAAATGATCAGTTTTAAACAAAAATGTATTAGTTTTAATGTCGGTCTATTTTTAATGCCATGAGATCGACGGATTGGCACCTTTACTCAGCACATCTGACACTTAGGGTCCAAATACAATCATTTAGAAGCTACAGCACCAAGTTAATTTCTTATCTGGCAACCTGACTGACATGAAAACTAGGCTGATGGTCCTCCATCACGTCAACAGCTGGATCTGGATGTCCACATCAAACTGGTTGATCCACCATGAGAAGGTGCTGTTCACAAGTTTCAGCAAAAACTGTCCAGAGGACCCAACTCTACGTTGCTACATTAATCTACCTGGATTACTGAGCATGGATCGGGATTAGATTAAATTAAAATTACAAACCGGATTCCAAAAAAGTTGGGACACTAAACAAATTGTGAATAAAAACTGAATGCAATGATGTGGAGATGGTAAATGTCAATATTTTATTTGTAATATAACATAGATGACAGATCAAAAGTTTAATCTGAGTAAATGTAACATTTTAAAGGAAAAATATGTTGATTCAAAATTTCAGTGTCAACAAATCCCAAAAAAGTTGGGACAAGTAGCAATAAGTGGCTGGAAAAAGGAAATTGAGCATATAACGAACAGCTGGAAGACCAATTAACACTAATTAGTTCAATTGACAACATGATTGGTATAAAAAGAGCTTCTCAGAGTGTCAGTGTCTCTCAGAAGCCAAGATGGTAAGAGGATCACCAATTCCACCATTGTTGCACAGAAAGATAGTGCAGCAATACCAGAACGGTGTTACCCAGCGTAAAATAGCAAAGACTTTTAAGTTATCATCATCAACCGTGCATAACATCATCAAAAGATTCAGAGAATCTGGAACAATCGCTGTGCGTAAGGGTCAAGGCTGTAAAACTCTACTGGATGCTCGTGATCTCCGGGCCCTTAAACGTCACTGCACCTCAAACAGGAATGCCACTGTCAAGGAAATAACAGAATGGGCTCAGGAATACTTCCAGAAAGCATTGTCAGTGAACACAATCCACCGTGCCATCCGCCGTTGCCAGCTGAAACTCTACAGTGCAAAGAGGAAGCCATTTCTAAGCAAGCTCCACAAGCTCAGACGTTTGCACTGGGCCAGGGGTCATTTAAAATGGAGTGTGGCAAAATGGAAGACTGTTCTGTGGTCAGATGAGTCACGATTTGAAGTTCTTTATGGAACACTGGGACGCCATGTCATCCGGACCAGAGAGGACAAGGATAGCCCAAGTTGTTATCAACGCTCCGTTCAGAAGCCTGCATCACTGATGGTATGGGGTTGCATGAGCGCTTGTGGCATGGGCAGCTTGCATGTCTGGAAAGGCACCATTAATGCAGAGAACTATGTTCAGGTTCTAGAACAACATGTGCTCCCATCTAGACGTCATCTCTTTCAGGGAAGACCCTGCATTTTTCAACACGATAATGCCAGACCACATTCTGCAGCAATCACAACATCATGGCTACGTAGGAGAAGGATCCGGGTACTGAAATGGCCAGCCTGCAGTCCAGATCTTTCACCTATAGAGAACTTTTGGTGCATCATAAAGAGGAAGGTGCGACAAAGAAGGCCCAAGACGATTGAACAGTTAGAGGCCTGTATTAGACATGAATGGGAGAGCATTCCTATTTCTAAACTGGAGAAACTGGTCTCCTCTGTCCCCAGACGTCTGTTGAGTGTTGGAAGAAGAAGGGGGGATGCCACACAGTGGGAAAAATGGACTTGTCCCAACTTTTTTGGAATCCGGTTTGTAGTTCATTTACTGAGAATATCTGAGAGTGCACGAGACCTCCGAATGTTTCGGTTCATTTAATATAAAAATAAATCCTAATTTAAAGCTTAATTTTCAATTAATGTTTTTGGATGTCTGCACCTCATCTGTACATTTTTATATTAAACTTTTTTGTCTCATTGAGAAACACGTCTGAGCTAAAATCCTGAGTTCTTTAAATTTTCACTGATTCAGTTAAAAACAAATGAAGCTGCTGAACGAGCACAAAGGTCCAAACTAAAACGTTGTTTCTTCGTTGTCACAATAAACCAAAATCTTAAGAAAATGTTTTAGAAAACTTTTATTGTGATGGGACCTCAGTGGAACACTAATAACAGGACTTCCTGTTCAGCTGGAGCAAACCATCGAACCGAGCCCGATGAGGAAGTGAAGGAGAAGATGGAGGTCAGAACATCACGAGCTCCAAGAGCTGCGTCACCGTTGGCTCCGTCAGTTCGGACCATAAACGGGTGAAGATCACCAGGACCCACCACCCTGGAGTCCACAGGAAGTGCAGCGGGGCCGAGGGTGGTGGTTACATATTCATGTTTTCATCTGGTGGTGAAGTCACATGAAGCGTTGTGGAGAGAAGAAGAACGTTGTGTAGAGAAGAAGAACGTTGTGGAGAGAAGAAGAACGTGGTGGAGAGAAGAAGAACGTTGTGGAGAGAAGAAGAACGTGGTGGAGAGAAGAACGTGGTGGAGAGAAGAAGAACGTGGTGGAGAGAAGAACGTTGTGGACAGAAGAAGAACGTTGAGGGAAACATTTCAAGTTAAATCCACCGAGACTTGTTTATTATCCAAGAGTTAAAAAGAATAAAAAGAAAAAACATAAAAAGTTAAAAAACGTTAAAAGTATCTTCAGTAGTGAAGTTTCGGCTCCGCCTACAGGCGGAAGCGTTCGGAGAAGTTGGGCGACTCGGGGACGGTCAGAGGCCGCTCGCTCTTCTTCACCACCACAGGTCGGTACTGCCGGATGGGCTGGGCCTTGTGGACCTGAGGACCAGAACAAGACCCGGTCAGAGCGCAGACAACTGACTGCTCCAGAATCAGACGTCCATTTGAGGCAGAAAAACCACAAACCGTCTAGAGGAGGGTGTGGCTTGTTGTGGGCGGAGCTACTTTAATACACCAACATTAATCTAATTTAACAACCGACCGTTGGTCCACAGAACAGACCCGGGACCAGCAGTCGGTGGGAGTTGGGTCACCTGTTCTTGGCGC